CACACAGTCATGCTTTTCATTTGAACCAAGCTATGCTGTCTTTGGGTTTTTCTTAGCTGGAACACCTTGCCTTATGTGGTTAGCTGTCTGAGTCCCATATGTAGTCATGCCATGGCATTGTATGGGGGTGCAGTTGCCTGAGCATGCCCACTGTTGTGATGAAAGCAGTGAGTTGCAGTATGCAAGGGAACCTTGTGCTTGCGACTGTAATGGCAACGAGGACGTTGCAGCTTTGAAAGACCGGGGAAATGTAAGGGATTTGTGTTCGTTACCGAGTACGTATGGTTTGTCTTTGATCGGTACGACTCTGTGTCGTGCAAGGCTTTGCCAGACTATTTAAGGCATTCCTACACCATTATTTGTAAGCTTAGTATTCTTCTCTTCCTTGTCTCTCAGTCAGCGATTGATGTCGGGCTCTGCAGATCGGGCAAGTTAGGAACTAATGCTTCCTCCAGTCGCCAACTGGAGCCAGTTCCTTTCACACTGACGCAGCCGTCTCGACGTCGTTAACAGGTGCGACAGCACATTAATCGAATACAAGTTAACCTCTTACGTCGCAATGAAAACCGTGTGCAAGTGTTGGACTATGTTACTATATCGTACCGCAACTCAAATGAAATGCGGATCGTGTTGGTTCCCTGGGCAATGCAATGTAACGCCGCTACCCGGGCCAACGGTCATCCGTACCAGCGGTACGCCTAAGAATATTTTATAAACTTCCAATACCAAAGGGTATTTAAAAATACCATAACTATCCTTGGATAATGTTTGCAAAAACGCGTGGTTCCCCTTTCCCTAGTGCTCAAAGATTCGAGCCGGTTCGTGTAAAAAGGATGATAAGCATCCTTTTGGAATACGTTATCCATGGACACTCGTTATGGGCGGTATCTCAAAGATTTGCTGTACTTTTGGAAGCTGTGAATGGGCAGGGGTGTCTAGCTGCCCGCTGCCTAAAGGATGCATGCACAGCAGCCGCGGCTGGGAAAAGCGCACCAAACGGCCTTCCGACAGTCTGACTGACACAATAAAATGGTTCTAACAATATGGATGGAGGTCCTGCAGTTGAAAATCTAAAACTCAAAAATGGCATGAGGGTTTTATGGGTTTTACGGGGGTTTTCGACGATTTTTGCAAAAACATGTCTTTCCCCAGCCCCAGCCCCAGGCCACCCCAAGGGGATGTCACTCTGTTCACGAGTGCGCGTTTGTGTGCGCCGCCTACCATAAGCTCTTGCAAAAACTCGTGTAAGCTCAGCACTTAATACATCCACCACCTGGATGGAATTCAGCCCCAGCCCCAGCCCCAGCCCCAGCCCCAGCCCCAGCCCCAGCCCCAGCCCCAGCCCCAGCCCCAGTTGTCACCGGGGACTCAGTCAAGGAGGGGTACGAGCCTGGGCACGCGCGAGGCAGGTGCCTCACCTCCTCAGAGCCTATTTTAGCCGTGTCAACTAGCCCTGGAAGTCCTGTCCCTCAGGGACTAATCCTGGCAAGCTGAACGTGAATTATAACAGGCCGAGCACTTGCTGCTTTCGAGAATCAAGAATCATCAAGGATCTCCGGTCCGTTGTCAAAGGAAAAGGCAGTTCGCCTTCATTCCATGGAGTGTGAGGTGCCCTTTAAATGTGAGACCCGCCATGCCCCATGCCCGTGTTCAGCCGTGTGGCACGACCCCCCCCAGGAGCTTTCCCCCCCAGGTCCGATCCGAGGGCAACCGCAATAACGGCGGTCGCTTTTCATAACCGTGTCGTGTCCGAGCCCCAACAAGCCCTGGGAGATAGCATGTTTGAGTCCTCGGTCCCGCCTCCTCCGCCACCATGACCTGCATGCTGGACCTCATGGCGCCCTTGAGGCCGCAGCGTGGTCATGGTGTCGCAAAGCACAAAGACCTGGACCTGCTCGTCCGCAACGATGCAGCGAAATCCTTGAAGTGTACGACCTGTCGTGTACGACTGGGCCAGCAACAGAGCGCTCGTCCTGTAACCCAGCTTGACGAGGCGCCCGGCGGCGGCGACGACCATTCCGTCACCTGGTGTCGCTTTGGCGAGGCGGCAGCCTCGGCCCGTCGCTGCCACCGCCACCGCCGCTGATGCTATCACTAACGCCCCCCGATCCTGCTGACGCCGACGGCAACGGTGTCGTACCAGATCCCAATTCGCCTTGGCTCCCCGTTCCCGCAGCGCCTGGTGTCGTACTGGAGCCCTCAGTGGACGTGGCAGCTGGCGCTGCTGCCAACGATGCCGGCGACTTCGCCGGTTCCACAGGCCCGGTGTACGGATAGTGTACAGAACACACGAGGTTAAACTCCTACATCTTATTTTAGGCGTAGTCGAAAATGTGGTTTGAAGAGGGGCGTCAGAGCGGCGTCGTACGGTGCGGTTGGTTGGTTGTTGTTTTGAACTGCTGTTTGCTCGGTGGTGTTTCGTCTTGTCAAATTATCTTCCTGGTGATCTCGGACTCGGCTGCTGGTTGATACGAGCTCTATTTACCAGAACAGCTGCTAGCTGCCGCTGTTATTGTCCGTTGGTCAGCGGTGTGGATCTGACGACCTTTCTTTCCCACCCGCCCACCCTTTCGAACTTTGGTTTCCTGGCTTGGTGAGAGGCCAGCTTTTAGTTTAGAGGCACGGGGGTTGTTTCGCTGGATTAGGCGTGGGGCCAAAGTAACCCAAGCGAGGCCGTCGGCTGCCTGCTGGTTACCAATGCGGAAGAGCACGGTAGCCCGGAAGGGCCGCACGAAGTAGCATGCGGGCTCTGGCAGGCAGGCTGGGCGTCTCTTCTCCCCAACCATATGTCCACGTCCCCGGTGCCTTGTTCGTATTAGTTGTACTGTAACGAACGCGTTTTGGGTTTCTCGTCCCGGTTCTTGGTCTGGCTAGCTGCTCAGCCCGGATTCAAAATGCTTATTTTGGCTGTTCGGCTATCGAATACGAGGGACCACACGTACCAGCCGGTCAAAACCAGCAAACTATTTCATTCCTCGGTTACCTCCAGCGCTCTCTCCAACAGCGCCTCAAAAGTCTTTGCCCCTGTCCAATTGCCAATCAAGCGCTGGACCTGAACCCTCAGGTGCAAAGGTCCCCTCTTTTTGCAGCAGCTGCTCACATCCCCATAGTGGCTCCCCTCGGTACTTCACCACGAGTACGTGTTCAAGTGCCATCCGCGAAATGGTGACGGCGTCCTCAGTTACAATGCGAGCGCCCCAGGACATACAAGAACACAGAGCAAAAAAAGACAAGCACTCCGCAGCGCGCATACACTGCTTTCGCAACCCCACCCCACCATCGAAGCCCCTCGGGAATATGCTCTAGTAAACGCACACGACTAGGGCCTCATGACACACGGACCGCATTACGCGGCCTTGCGCTTCCTAAGCGCTTCTTCGAGTCATCCGCTCCCCCCCCGTCATTCCCAAACCAGCCAGTCAGCTTGCTCACATCACATCACATGACATCACACGTCGCAAATCAATCGCACACCACCTCTCTCCCGTAATTGGAACTCTGATCGAACGACGCAAAGCATCCTTGCGCTGCTCTGAACCACGGCCGCGCACCAACTACTCTTCCCTAAACTCATTAAATGCCACAGGTGGAGTATGTGTGCTGCGAACCCCGCACTGCTCAGAAACTCATTCAGTCCCTCACTGCCCTCTACAAGAGCCATTCGGCCGCTCGCAACAAAAGCGCCGATATGACTACCGCTGTGCACAGGAGTCCAAAAAAAGTGAAACACCTCTCTACAATAGCAAGTTGCCTTTCCTGCATGCTACGACGTCATCCATCGAGTGCCGTACCGCACCTTCTCCCAATGATGTTTGAATCCAACCCTGGAGTAGCGGTCCCCAGAGCTTGAGCAGGAGATAGTTCTAGGACCCTCCACTTAAAATATTGGTTGAAGCTCGAAATCGAAAATAGCGCAGCGAAGAAAATAATAAGCGGGTGCCGTCCAACAACAGGAATCATGTTGCAATCAGCGCTAAATCACGGCTACGCTCAACCCCACAGCCCCAGCTACCTGCCACAGGTTTTGTATGGATAGCGTGCGAAACCCCTGCAACCGTTATTCGCCAGACACACACGCACTCAACCCCTGCTGCTGCCCCTGCCGCGGCCTCCAAAACCCCCCCGCCCGCCCCCTCGGCCACCGCCGCGGCTGCCGCCATACCCTCCGCCGCCGCCGCCACGCCCGCCATACCCTCCGCCGCCGCCGCGACCACCATATCCTCCGCCGCCGCCGCGACCACCATATCCTCCGCCGCCCCGACCACCGTACCCTCCGCCGCCGCCGTATCCGTTGCTGTACCCATTGCCGTACCCGCTGCCTCCATTGGGCTGCTCCGGCCGCGGTTTTAGCTCTGGCAGGGATGACGGCAGCGTCACCGAAATGCCCCTCTTGCCCTCCGCCGCGTCCAGAAACGTCTGTGCGAGCTCCGAGGGCACATCGAAGACAGCGCCCTTCGAGTCGGCTGTCACCGTCATGCGCTTCACCTGTTGCGGGTTACACACGACGGAGAAACACAGACACACAGACCTGTTGCTGCTGATCCGCCGCCGCTATACACAGTGTGGCAGTGTATCGCCACCAGCCTGTCGGCAGGCCCCCCCGGCACTCTCATTACAGCACAACTCCAGAATACCCCCCCTCCCTCCCTCCCCTTTCCTCCCTGGGTGCATCATCATCCGCCTCCTCCTCTCCCCTTTCCTCCTCCTCCTCTCCCCTTTCCTCCTCCTCTTCCCTTTCCTCTCCCCCTTCCCTTCTTCTCCCTCCCCGGGGGGGCAACCGGCCCACCTGGTCCAGGGCCGACTCCTCCAGGCGACACGTCTTACGCAGGTGGCCCCACACAGAGCTAGGGCTCTCAATGGTGTGGTCTTCGCACGTGAACAGAAGTGTCGTACAGTCGTCGTGCGCCGTCAGAAGGGAGCGAGCCTTCATCTCCTGGGGGGTTACATCAAACGCCAAACCAAAACAACACGTGAGTGCGCGCGCCCGCGCATTTACACGTATGTCTGCGTTGCATTTATGCATGTAAAAGTGCGAGTAACTGTGACTGCGCGGGATAGTGGGTGTAGACCGGTTGCCCCAGGTCATTGTCCGAAGGGGAGGCAAGACCTTTTTTAACGGGAAGGGACAACCGTCGACGTCCTAAAGGAGGTGTGGGGCCCATTCGGAGGGTCATGGCTATGTGTGTGTGTGTATTTACCTTGTAGCCAGTGATCTTGGCCAGGGCACGAGCCAGCGCCTCGGCGGGGTCCCGGCCGTCCGCCGCCTGCTCCTCCAGGTGCCGGTTCGCAGCGTCCCTGGAGGCAGTCGGGGGAAGGGAGGGGAAGGATGCGTTGAGAGAAAACATTGAAACACGGAGAAAGGAAACACACATTCGTATACACGACCCCAGGCGCGACGCCACGCACGGATACCTTTCCACTCGCCACGAGCCGGGCCCCCCTCATCCCAGTGGGGCCTTTCAACGTCCACAGCTGTGTATTTATTTCTGCATGCACTTATATACCTGCACGTATATCCCCCCCGCCCCGCCCGCAGCCCCTTCCTCCCCGGCCAACCTAAAGTGCTCCACCACGGCGGGGTCCACCTCCGACAGCAAGGCCAGAGAGCGCTCCGCAGCAATGCGAGCCATGTCGGCCGGCTGGGGGGCACCGATGCGCTCAAACTTCATGCCCGCACGCCCCTCAATGATGGCCACCTGAGGGGAGGGAGGGGAGGCCGTGGGGGAGCGGGAGGGTCAGGCAGGGAAGGAGGATGGGGGGGGTAAATACTTGACACGCGACCAAGACCGTGCATTTATTTAAAGACCTTCCCCTTGGCCCCGCGGTCTCAATCATACCATCTTACCACCATCTCCGAAATGCAGCCTCACCACACCCACACTCACACGGCCACGTGCGCTACCTGGCGGCCATTTCCTTCCCGTGACTCAGACCACTAAAGCATCCCCCCCCACACACACATACACAATCACACACAGATTCACACACGCACCATGTACTCCATCTTCTTGGTGACCAGGGTGATGCAGGTGCCGCTGCTGCCCGCCCTGCCCGTACGACCCGACCGGTGGATGTACGTCTCCCAGTCGGCGGGGGGGTCCACCATCAGCACCAGCTCAATGCCGCTCACATCCAGACCGCGAGCCGCAACGTCAGTGGCGATCAGCACGGGGAAGCGGCCCTTCCGGAAGCCATCTAGAGTCTGTTCGCGCATAGACTGGGCCAGATCGCCGTGAAGGGCCTGAGCGGGGCGGGGCGGGGGGCGGGGTGGGAGTGGGGGTTTGAAAAACTGTCAGGTAGCAGACGACTGCCGAGAGAGAGGAGTTCTGAGTGTACCGGTGTACGAACAAGCTGTTAGTTTACGGTTTCGGCGAAGCCAGGTTGCAGTGTGCGCTCGTGCAGACGGGGGAAGGTCCGAGGTCGCGGGGGTGGGGTCCCCCGGGGGGTAGAGAGAGCATCATGGTACCGGGGGGTACTGAATTGCGTAAGCGCCCCCTCCTTTTCCCTCCCCGTCCCATTCCGCCTCCGCTTCCCCCTCCGCTTTTTCCCCGATTCCATCCGATTTCGTGTTCCCCTCCCCAACCCCACCCCGTCACCCTCCCCACCAAGCCCCTCACCTGCGCGCCCAAAGAATCTCCCAACACCACACTCAGCTCCGCCGCCTCCTTCTTGGAGTCCGTGAAGATAATTGTACGACCACCGGCACCGTACGACGTGATCAGGTCCTTGAGCAACCCGGCGCGTTGCGGGTACGAGCACGGCAGCATCAGATGCCGTACCGTCACGGCGGCCTAAAGCACGCGGCGGCAGGACAAGCGCGAAAGATGTCAGTGGCACATTCACCCCGAGAACAACACCTTAATCACAATGTCACGGACTACTGACTTACGACATATGTACGGCACCGTACATGGTACAACCGCAGCGCACCGGAAGGTCAACGCAGGTGCTGAAAACGCCCATCCCAGAAACGCCTCCACGTCTGTCATCGCAGCTACACCTTGCGACTTCCTAAACACACTCCCAGCGCCTCCTAATAACCCCACTCCCACACCTAAGCACCAACCCACCGCCATTCCCCTAGGCCCAGCAGGCCTCGAGCTATATCGCCCAATGAACTGCTCTGACCTACCCTCTACTTCCCGAGGCCTACCATGCCTTCCTTACCATTCCTCATTCAATCCACTCACCCCTCCTCCACCCGCCTCCTCGTCAGGTCCCTTCCCACCGTACAACCGTGCTGAAAACACACACGCCCACATACACGCACCGTCTCAGCCTTACCTGCATCTTGTCGTCCCCCACCAGGTCCATGAAGCGGTGACCCGGTCTCAGGAAGCGCTGCGTGAGCCCCTTGACCCACTTGGGCAGGGTCGCGGAGAACAACAGCGTCTGAATTGAGTCGGGCTGCTGCTCCCCCGCCTTAAGGATAGTCTCCACATCCTCAATGAACCCCATCGCCAACATCTGGTCGACCTCATCCAAAACGCGGAACCTATGGTGGAGGCGAATGGAGGGGAAGCCGGAAAGGGAAGACGAACCGCAGAGGAGTGAGGAAGCTGGTACCAGAGATAGACGGACGGATACTACGCAGGATTAGACGCGGGAAGCGCAGTGGGAGGGGATACATCGATTAGGCGGCAATGCCATGGGGGTGAAGGAAGGCGGCATCCATGGGGGGGTGCGGTGGGAGTGAGGTGGGATGAGGTGCAGAGCGCGAGGATGCACAAGGGGGATGAAAGTGAGGGGGGAAGAGGGGAGGGAAGCCGAGTGATGCAGAAGTACTGCAACCGTATTCATTTAGGCGGTTCTCCGTCGTATAACTGCCAACTGCCAACGCAAGACAACTTATAAGGCAAAGTCCTTCTCCTTGCTCTGTCTCCTAGGTCGTACACGGCCATTGATAGGTATTCGCACCCCGTACCAGCTACACTTTCACTTATTACGCAGGAAGGACAGACAGACAGACAGACACACAAGCCCAAAAGGTTGCGTTGGGATTACGCCCTAATGATGCAGCTGCAATGGAGTCGTGCCGAGCTAGACGGCATTAATTCGGTTCACCTGATGTTGGAGAGCTTGAGGGTGCCGCGCTCCAAAAGGTCCTTAATGCGGCCCGGGGTGCCAACCACGACATCCACGCCCTTCGATAGCGCCGTCTCCTGGCCATCGTACGGTGTTCCGCCGTACACACACAGCGTATAGAGATTAGCCGCCTTGCCAACGTTGGCAAATACCTCCTGGACCTGAGGACGGGTGTCGTACGCACGTGGGGGTATGTGAGGAGCGGGTAGTAGCATGGCCTAATTTTATGCCTCTGTGAGCCTGAGAACTGAGACGGGAAGTTTTGGCTAAGGTTGCGGTGTGAGGATGGTAATGCGATGATGGTAACACCCCTCCATCCCCTAAAATAAGCTATTACAGTTTGACAGTTCTGATGCGTGTGAGGCCGGTCAGGACCCAGCTGATTGGAGCTTTGGGCTTGTGAAAGGATTTGGGTCAATAAAGTGCTTTCAACTGACTCACATGGCACATCCACAAGCCTCAGCGACATTATGCAAGACACATATAGTATCTGCCTACACCACTTCAGCCTAATGACAAATGCATACACCAGCGCAAGTGCGCACCTGCTTGGCAAGCTCTCGAGTGGGTGCCAGCACAATGCAGATGGGCAGGCGGCCAGCGACGCGGCCAGCTGCTACACCTTTTCGTTGCTCAGCCAGAATTCGTTCCACAATGGGTAGGACAAAGGCAAGAGTCTTGCCGCAGCCAGTCCGCGCGCGGCCAACGACATCGACTCCTGCGAGGCCTGGCTCGAGTGTCATTGCCTGGATGGGGAACAGTGACTCGATGTTCTGGCTTCGAAGCATCGATTTAACTTGTTCCGACAGCGGAAACCGGTCCAGTCCTAGCTCCGATGCAGGAGTAGCGGCCGTAATCGGCGCCTGGTGAGCGGCCGCCGGCGGCTGCGGTTCCGTGTCGTCCGAAGCGCTGGCCTTCGCGGAACGCTTGGCCTTCTTAAGAGGCGGTTCAACGCCCTCATCCTGCTGTTTCTTGCTCTTTTTAGTACCCGCCGTCGCCAATGGCTCAACCGTCAATGGTTCCGCTTCAGGCTCTGCCTCGCGCTTGCGCTTAGTCTTCTTGTCATTATCGGCTGCGTCCTTCTTGGGCTTTTTCACCTTGGCGGCGTCGTCAGTTGCTTTCAATTTGGCCATTCTTATAATAAAAAGTGGCAGTAAGCAACAATGACTTGTTCACATACACACTCCACTCGCTCAAAAATGCACCAAATGAGTATGAGCCCCAAACGAAATGCACGCAAGCCTTGCGTACGGCCAACAAGAAGGGTTTCGTACCAACGGTCGTTGAATTGTCTGAAACCTGTCCTTATCAAAAACGGCTTAAACTGCATGTCCACAAAACTATGCATAGCAAATTATCCTCCGACTGCAGTCATAAACCTGCAGGATAAACTTGCGGCGCAAGCATCGGAACACCTTCGTCTGTCAACCATTTACCAGCCGAGTCCTATCTTTACTATCCCCGGGAGCTCTCTCCTACGCTCATCCTCTCGGTAACATGCTCACAAGGCTTATCCTAGTCTGATTCAACGCGGTAAGTTGCACGGTCAAAACTCCTGCCAGGCAGGAGCCTTCTTCGTCACAGTCCCGCCCTTCCAGCATGGCATGTACAAACTCTTCCACGTTACGTACTGGCACATCTATACTGCTGCTATCAGAAGGCCTCCGGTCCTTGTCATATCGATGCGTCCCGCATGCGCGGAGCACCTGTCATGATGCATACCCCACCAGAGGTGGACAACTCCAAACCCCGCAACGCCGACGTTGCCTGCCTGCCTAGTCCTTGATAATGTGACCTGCCAAGTACTTCTGAATGGCGAATGCCTGGATACGACTTTCGCCTGTGACTTTCTTTAGATGGGCGTCACACAAAATATACTGCTTGTTGGAAGGATCCTGCGCGCAGGGGAGATACATGCAAAAGATCAACTGCCGGTGTCTAAGCATAGAAGCACACAAGATGCCGGCAGATAGGGCCCCGGCCCCAACAACGACAAAAGCGGCCCGACGCATGCGTCAGCGGATATTGGCGGTGGCGGTGGCGGGGCGACATGTCGCCCCTTTTCCTCCTACACCACGTGTCGCATCGCGCCGTGAATCCGCTTGCCAACCATTCCTTTTTAAACTGAAGACAATCAGAAAAGGACCCAAATCGCGATCGTACCGGGAAGTACTAAGCGGTTCATCTTAAGTTGTCGCACTGCGTGACCGCACATACTGAACAGCTACAAGTTCCGCAGGAGTGCAGGGGCCAGTCGTAAAAGCCAGGGGACCATAGACAGTCGATTGTGGCGCCGTGTGAGGACGTTGTAAAGTGATGCATCCTTTAAACAGGGCTCGTTAACACATAAGCAGCGGCGGTCCATGGTGGTTGCTACCTCATGCTCACCTGCAGCTTATGTTCCTTGACGTAAGCCCAGAAGAACTTGGTAAGGTCGGATCGACCCATCGTGTCCGCCCCACACCAGCTCGCAAGGTCCTTGGATAACCGCAACGGTTTGTTGAAGTTGTTATTCTTGCGCTCCCCGGCATCCCCCCCTTCGCCGTCGCCGGTCTTGGCCTTCTTGGCCTTGGGCTTGTCGCTGCCCGATTTGGGCTTGTCGCTGCTGGGGCGCTTGTCCCCGGATGACTTGGCGGCTCGTGGTCGGGGCTCCTCCGCATCTGAAGCACTCAACAGGGAACAAGAAGGCCCCACTCGGAGATGTACGACACACGTGTGCATAAGACGATGCGGATACGGACATAACACGCAGAGTAATGAAACACTTGTATATATATTTATGTTACGTTTGCATGTCGAACACGCTTGTGTCAGACAGGTATGTGGAGTAGATGTGTGTTATCAGGCCTGGCGCCAGGCAGTGATTGACGGCAAAGGCAGCGGCGGAAACCATGCAGTGCTCTCCGGAATGTTATCCATAGCCATTCTGGCGGCAATCTTCCGCTTAAGGACCTCATTCGCTCTTGAATGTGCTTATGTGCCAACGCCCTGGTGTATAAGGAAGAGCAGAACGGCGCCAATTCCCATAGCTCTTCTAATTTTCAGATGCCTAGATATGTTGTATTGCAATGCCACGAAGCCCAAACTGCATAAAGAGCATCCCCTTCCAGCAAAGTTGGGCAATTAGATTGGACATCAACGGTCGGGCTCGCAGTGGCGGCAGGCAGGGTTGCGAGTGTTGGCGCACGTAACCAGGCGACACATTGCCCCGCATTCATGGCTGCTAGACGCGCAAGGCTTAAGGAGCTGTGATTTTGATGACACCCCGTGCCGGGGCTGCAATCCTTGATGCCTGTTTCCTACGGTTATATCGCCTAGAGTATGGGTACGGTCGATGATGGGAGGCTTGGGTGTTGCCTCCAGCGACCCGTCAGCCGTCCTCACAATCTACCCAATATTTATTGGTCTGGTCTGGTGACACCACTGCATTTAGCAGAGTAAAATCCTGATATTCAATTCCCGGGCAGATCCCCGGCATTATGGCTAGGTACTGAGGTGGGGAGATGAGGTCTAGTTGACGGATTAAGTTTCGCATGCTGGATTGGTGGTGCTTGATATATGTCTCTACGGATGTCGGGCATGAGAGGGGTTCTAGATGGCAGAACCCAAGCCGCCTTCGACGTTCAATTCGTACGTCGCAATTAATTTCAATGAGAACAGTCCATGGCCCCCGCCCGGGCTTTGACGGACACCTCCACATTCGTGCGGAACTTGTAACTTGTGACATTATCTAACCTTGGAGCCAACCCTGCTCACCCAGTGTCTTGCAGTGCCGACTGAGCTGTGAGTTGATGGAGAACATGGTAAGCGGTGCTGTGAATAACGTGCGCAGCTTGTCATCCAGCAAGATTCGTCGTCGGTCTTTCGGGTCCTGGAAGTGGGTACGGGGCGAACGGTTGCTGACAAACTGTGCAGTAAAAGCCAGGAAAACTTGGTCTAGCCTTGGCCCCTTCGTGTTGGAGCCCACCTGAAACCCATCGTCCCCTGGAGTCGTACCTGAAGGTTGTTGGCTTTGATGTAATCCCAGAGGCGTTTGACCACTTGGGTGCGCGGCAGGCTTTCCTCGCCAAGGAACTTTTGTAGGGGCTCCGAGAGTAAACAGCCGAGTGATGATCCCCGGGCCGGGCTATACACAACAGGGTGCGCAAGGGGTCAGTTGGCGTTTTGAGCGAAGCCGGCCGCGTGGCATACAAGGCACTTGTAAGGGGAGGCGGCTCCGCACTTACGTGCTGTCGTCGCCGTCCCCGCTGCCATCTTCGTGTTCGTCCTCATCGCTACCTGCTTGCTCCTCCAAGTATTTCTCGATCTGCATTTAGGTCACAGCCCCGTAACTTTGGGTTGGGTTAAGCCATTTCTTGCCTTCCCAACCCCCCGACCCACCTCATTCCGAATTATCAGCTTTTTGTCCGTCAAATCTATCTTAAACTCTTCTTCCAGCTTTTTCCGCAACATTTTCTCTGTTGTCGTCTGCAGGTCGCTCTCCCCAAGAAGCGCCCGCAGCCTAACAATTAATTGCTCGTCTGTAACCGACATACTTGTGCTTATCCTCCACGCTTTGGGTTCTTAGAATTGAGGGCACGATGGTCGGAGTGTTCCAAAGTCGGTGTTCAACCGACGAATTGACCATCTAGAAGAAAATAGATGTTATCCGATCTAAGCAAGGGTTGAGTATTGGTTCGAAAAGCTAGGCGATAGAGATGTCAGTGTGCTGCTGTACTACGGCATAGGCTTTTGCAGCTAGATTGTCAATCCCCAGCTACCACGTCGTTACTTAACTGAAATAAAGTATGCCAAATTCGTCAGTTAATAGACAAATTGCAAGCAATGTGAGGCTTTCACAGGCGCTTCCCTTTCTAGCCTGACATAAAGACTTCCGGTTGTGTGCGCGAGCACTGCAGACGCATACGAAAATGAATTCATTGACACCACTTCATGGCGGCGGAAAGCTTGTTTGGTCTATAAGCGTACTCTTACTGACGGGCTTCCTGGCGCGGCGTGGTCTCCGGAAGGGCAGCTTGAGTCGCTCAGGTCCGCAAGCTGCAATCATTCAAAACCCATGCTTAAAGGCTGGACGTAGGCCCTGTGAAAAGACCCGTGTGGAAGCGGATCGAAACGGAGGCATCGGAAGGAGTTGGAACGTCGGCAAACTTCTTTAGGGATCCTTGCAGAATAGACAGGCTGGCACTGGTACCTTTCTTAATCCTGCATCCTCTTCAATATTAGCTACTTCGACGATGCTTTGGAAAAGGTCTGGAGCAGTTGGCAACTGTAAGCCGTACAACAAGCAACCTCTTGCTATTGCCTAAGCTACTTTCAGTCACTCCATGCACATGTCGTTGCTCGAATGACGCTTAATTAGACGGCTTTAGGCCACCATCACTATTGTCAACTATAGTACCGACCCACGGGTCGCTAGCACCAGGTTGGCCCCCGGAGCTTCCCCATCACCCCGCCGCGTGTGCCGCCGTGCTCAGGCGCATGTGCGGCCTTCCTGGTAGGAGCCGTTCACATGTTTTGTGGCTTGCAATATGGTCTCACCCTCATCATCTTTTACTTAACGTCAAGCAAGGTAGGTTGCAAGGGACCTGGATTTGAGGTCGTGTGCCTAGGGCCCTTGGTGGCGCTCCTTATGGCTCCATGAACCATATGGGTTAACCTAGCCGCGCCAGCAGGAGGGCATGCACGCCGTACCACGTGCCGACGTGCACGCTCATCCTTAGCTGGTTCCTTCTGACACGGAAATCCACGCAAGCCCCTGGCGATAGCCGTTAATACAGGGCATGGCGGTCTGGCCTTTGACCTTACTTCAACCCAGCTTCCTAGCTAAAAATGTCCCCCGTTGCCCCGCCATTATATTGATGACGCTATCCGTGTGCCGCCGCGGTGAGGTGTGCAGCTCACCCGGCTTGGCGCCAAGCGCAAAGCACTGCTTGAGGAGGAGCACCAAGAGGGCGGCCGAAGGGACGCCACACAGGTCCGGTCCCGTACTCCAGGAGGGGATATGCCCCATAAGCCCCAGTGTGCCTTTTGCCTGGCCTAGCCCCTGCCTCTGCGTGCTCTCTGCATCGCTGGCGGCCGCAACAATGCCCTTTCCGAAAAGGCGACCGACCAGCCAATTGTCGTGCGCGTATATCCGTGTATGCAGGTGCTGGCTAATAGCTTGGCGGCCTGCATTTTTGCAGGGCTGTCTTACATGGCAATGGCAGACGCGGCTCCTGTGAAGCTCGCTTTGTCTCGTGTTCATTTGGCCGGGGCATTCCTGGTGAGCGTAAGGCGGCACAGTAGCCGTAAAGCCAGCAAGGTGTTGTCTGTAGTTCCAAATGCATGCAGGTATTCCTAGATCCCTTGGTACTGTTAGAAACGCCATGCCAGCTCTGGCTGGTCGGCACGGCTTTCAGTGCATCATGCCGCGGAGGGGGCATAGAACCTGGTCCTCTGAAGCCCACCGTGCCCCGTCAGGGGCGCGTATAGGGCCCAGCCGCGACCCCGAACCCAGAGGCCCTGTCGTGAACAGCCTGACAGGGTTTGGAACATGCTGCGCATTACTACAGCCGGCGCGCAAAACGCGAATGAATCTTGGTGTAATGCATGGGCGCGAAGGATGTGCATCGGTGCTTGACCGATGCCAGGCTTGCTGCAATCGTCTAGACTTCTTCCTATGTCGCAGTCTGCGTCGCTGCATGGTGTTGCTCAAGGGCTTAAAACCCGCTCTTCCTGCGCTTCTATTGCGCTGGGAGATCCGGTGGGTACATTTCCTCAGATTGCTTAACACAGGCCGGTGTCGCCTCGCTCCTGCCGTAGGGTCATTACGCCGCCTGCTGTGGCGACACTTGGGCGAGTGAGCTAGGCATCCTAAGTCGCAGCGTGCCGCGCCTCATCACCACCGGTCGCAAGGTCCCACCGGGCACCAACGGCGGCGTAACTCCGCTGGGCCTGGCCTGCAGCGTCGCCGGCGGCCTGACCATCAGCCTGGCTTTCTTTGGCGGCGGCGCTGTTGGCTGTGCCTGGGGCACTATCCCCCGTGGCGGCTCGCTATGCCCCGCGCCCGCTGGCGGCAGGACCGGGCCGTGGACGCTGCATGACGCGGTGATGGGCGACGGGCCCACAGGTCTGCGGCCGTTGGCGGTGGTTGGCGTAGCATGCGGGCTGTTCGGGTCGCTGTTGGACTCAATGTTGGGTTCTATGCTGCAATACAGTGGATGGGATCCAGAGACACGGCGTGTGTTGTCGAGGCCGGCCAAACGTGTGCTACGCGCTGGGCGTGGCGGCGACAGGGACGAGGCCGCTGGGACGCAGGTGGTGCACATTAGTGGGGTGCCGTTGCTGAGCAATAATGGTGTCAATTTTATTGCAGCGGCGGCGACGGCTGCTCTTGGCGCGGCCATGCTGGGGCAGTGGGACAGTGCGGGGGTGTGAGCCTGATGGCGGCAGCCTTGTTAGCTGTGAGGGGGATGTGGTGGTGGATGTGGTCGTGATTTAAGGGTATGTCGCGAGAATTGAGAAGTGTGTTGTGGCGTATGTGCATGCGCCGTCCTACCTGCTTCGGTATCTGTTAGTGTTCGCACCTTCAATCCTAGGCAGGGATGATGAGAGATCGCAGTGTGTCGGGTGTCAAGGGGGCTGAGGCAACTGTGCAGTTGCCTGTTGACCCCTGTGCGTGCACAAGTAGTCGGCAGTCCCCGCGAAACCGCATCTTGCCTTGCTCCGGCTACCTGATGCGGGTGATGGCTTTCCTAGGAGTAGCTTGTGGTAGTCAACACAAGGGAGAGGTTTTTTGTAGCAGCTCCTAGGAGTGTTGTGTGCGTGTTGAAGAAGGGTTGTGCGAAACTCACGCACGGTACGCGGAAAGGACGTCTCGGATTTGACAGATGTCACAGGTGTACGGCGAACTTCGGCGACTGCTTTTGAGCGAGTTACCGCCTAGGCCTAGGCCTAGGCCTAGGCCTAGGCAAAGACGTATATGGTATGATTTAAGACAAAAGGCCGGGACGGGACTTCCAGACAGGTCAAAAGGGACACGCTTGTGCGCGTGTTTGTGTGTGCATGGGCAGTAGGCTATGCATCAGCTGAATGGGCAATGCTGCTTCCGAGCTGGTCAAATCTTATCACCGAAGAAGGATCCCAAGAGGGATCACCGCTGCTGGGTGCATCCTGCGCCGGGAATTCGTCACCTTTACCGTTCACTCGGCCACAGGATCTCCTGGTGGTGCATTAATTTCCAGGACCGTGACGAGAGGCGCATATGCGGGTGTGGTTGTGTTGTCGAATGGACTGCATCAGGCCTATGACATGATGATGATCCACCGCTGCAGCCGCTACAAAGAGACATTACGGCACCACTGTCGCTTTAGTTCGGCTGTTTGCTTCACTTGGCACATTCCTTGGACTGGAGACCGCGAGCCACCCATCCCCCACATCCTCTGCCGATGCCTCAGCACCACCATCCGCGCCATCCGCGCCGTTCCCAGCGCTGTCAGCGTTCCCGCAGTCGCCGTCACGACCTCTCACATCCACCGGCGCCCCGCTGTAGCTGCTGTTGGCGACAGCTCCAGCTTCGGCGCCGCCGCTGCCCACGCCGCCACTCGCTTCGCTGTCATGACCACGGCCGCTGCTCGCCGGGTGAAGACCAGAAATCTCCGTCTCCGTATCCACCATACTTCCGGCACTTCCGCCACGCCGAATGACACCAGCCCGGGTGCTCGCACCGCCCCGGTCATCGGTTCCGCAAGCTGGCTCTCCAGACTCTCCTTGTAATGCCTTGCCGCCCGTGCCCTCCAATGGAGGGACAGTGACGTCGCCGCTGTGGCTTCTACCAGCCGGCGGGAAAGCCTCCTCTCTCCCCTCGTCGCCGCTGTCGCTATTGGCATCATCATCATCATCCCGGCCAGCGCCCCGGTCGCTGCCCTCCGTCGAGCCACTGCCCCGCGTGTCCCCCCGCCGACCAGATCGCCAAGATGGTGACATGGCCCGACGGTTCGGGTTCAGATCCCGATCCTCTGGGCCGCCCCGGCTGCTGCGTTCTCCACCCGGATCCCTGCGGTCGCTGGCATCCGGTGGGGGCTGCTGCCCGGCCCCGGCAGAGGTGCGGCCATCCCCAGCCCGGTTGTCAGCCCGCCTGCGGGAGAGAGGGAGAGAGAGGGAGAGGTAAACAGCAAAGGAAGCTTGAAAGTGCGAGCAGGAGAGGTGCGGGATGGAGGGCGGGAGGATTGCATGCAGGTCAGGCAGTATCTACCGCCTCGTCAGAAGCCCGCTGTGCTCTTCCCCCCACCATTTCCGGGTCCTTCCAGGCGCGTAGCAATGCTGCGGGGTTTGCGGACATCAGCTTGCACCAGACCAAGCCTCGCTCCAAGCCGTGGGTAGCCACCGCCAGTTCGCGACAGGACACAGCCCTCTCAACATACACCTCAACGCAGCACCTGCTATCTAACGCAAAACCTCTGACATGCCTTGTCTCCTTCCTGTCGATATTCAGTGCTCGGCCCTTTTCCCGATCCTCCGCATATCTATACCCTCTCATCTACTCTACTACATTAGTTTTGTAAGACTGCGGGGCGTAGGAGAATCTTCCCCCTTAGCCCCCCCCCCCCTCTGTGCCATTCTCCACATGCCTCACACAGCACACCTTGCAGCATTTCCCACCCACCTCCAGAACACCGCCTGCACCAGCACCACCGCCAGCAGCGCCACCGCCAGGTTGGCCACCTGGATCTCGGAACTCAGCGGTGAGGAGCCGTCCGTGGCCATGGAGCCGGCATTCATAACGAAGCGCAGTACGAGCCGAGCCCCCGCGTACAGCCTTTGGGATGCGAAGTTGGGACGGCGGATGCAAACCTAAGGAGTCCTTATAAACATAACAAGCGACAAGCACTGATAAAGAACGAGGGGATACATATATGGGGATGCCACGTAAAACAACCTTTTCCCCCTACATGCTTGAGACCCATGGGAGTGCACGGACAAACCCCACAAATGCCACTGGATATCATTGGCGCTGGAGCTCAGCCCAAGGTGGTAACGGCACAGCAAACCAACTTGCCGAGGAACGTTATATGAAATCACCATGCAGTGCAGTGCAATGCAACATAAATCGATTATTACTTCGTGATCACCCACGCGATACCCAGAGTAAAAGATCAGGAACGGCCCCCAGGGGAGGACGCCTGGCCAAGTAGAGAGTTGCAAGGAAACCCCCACCCCACCCGTCTCTCCTGGTCGCCGCAGCTACGACGCGGCCATGACGAATGCACCCACTCACCCACCTGCCCACCTACCCACCTGCCCACCCACCCACCTGCCCATCACAAACTCGACCGCGCTCGGATCGTTATCCGGCCGCAGGGCCGGCGGAAACGCCGTGCTGGCATGCAGGTTAAGCAGAGGCCCTGAGTGCATCTGGTTAATCCACGCCGCCAGCTTGGGTAGCTCCACGTCCAACCCACGCTCCAGGGAGCCCAAGTCGAAATCCGCATTCACCGCATGCAGAAACACCGGCCGGCCGCCGCGCAGGTGTGAAGCGGCGCCGCGGAACCAGGACGAGCCGTCCACGGACGGGCGGATCACCACCACGTGCGCGGCGCGCCGCGGCTGCAGCCGCATGGCAAGGCTTTGCAATCCCACAGCACGCGCAGCAGTCACGACGGTGTCTCGTGCGCGTCCCACCACGTCCAGCGGGGCCGGACCACACACGGTGCGCACGAGCTCGGGGCTCTGAGGGCCGCGCACGTGGGGGGAAGCACGGTGAAGCAGCATAGGAGGGTGCGAGGGGGCCCCCTGTCCGAAACTGCTGCCAGCCGAGCAAAACGCACTCGTTAACTCGATCAGTATCTCGTATTTAAATATCTTTCTCGACCTGGTCCACCGTACACCTAGGCCCACATGAAAGGCCTTCGTTAGCCCCTAAGCAAACTCCCCAGCAGGCGCATCTACCATCTCCCAAAACAACTTGTTGCCCGCCCCGACCTCGCCTGGCCCCGCCTGGCACGCACTCGTACCCGTGCTGCCGCCGCCGCCATCGCTTGCGCAATCGCCGCCGCCCGGCCCGCCGCGTTGGTGCCCGGTGGTGGCGCCGAGTTGGTTGGGCGCATGGCCTGCCTGTTCCCCATCAGCCAGGCGCACAAGGGCTGCTGCGCGCTGGCGTCCAGCCACAGCAGGCGCAACTTGCCGGCCATGTAGGCACTGGCCGCAGCGGATACGCTAGGGTCGCGCTGATGGGGGGCGGAGCGAGGAGAGAACAGCCGGGCGGGCGGGGCCAGAGAAAACGTGGTTGGTGGAGCGGGGCACCGACCACCAGTGAGCGGGTAGTACAAGCACTCGGAGGAGAGCGTGCGGGGGCGTGAGTGTGGACAGCACACTTGGGCCGGTCGCGAACGAACACACCCTCCATGCCACATCCCCCTCACACCCTCACACCTTCACGCACCCGCACCCGCACCCACGGGGGTCCCTCCGCTCTGCTCATAGCACCGTCGGCCCCGGCAAACTCTCGCCCTTCCCAACCCCTAGGTACACAACACCAACACTAGCACTAGCAGTAGCATAGGAGTAGTAGCAGTAGCAATACAAGTCCCCACCTTGGAGTTGGACAGCGCCATGTGGCGGCCTAGCACCGCCAGCCGCCGCCTCGCCTCCTGCAGCTCCGGCCCTCGGGGCCCAACCGCCACCACGCACGTGTCAATCATGGAGCGCCCCGAGGCAGCTGCTGCGCGGCCCCACAGGCAGCCCAGCGAGGCGCCAGTCGCAGGACGCAGCGGTGGGACCTCCTGCCAGAGCAGGCCTGCACGGACACGGAGCCCCCACCAGGGTACCACACCAGCGGACAAAGGGACACGGGGGATAGAGCGTGTGGGATACAGCGGAGGAGTTTGCTGCAAGCCGTGTCGCAGAGGGGAGGGGACGACGGGATGGCAGAGGAGAACATGCCACCTACTGATATGCGGGTGGTGAATGGTGCCGCCGCCGTCTGCGCTGCGGTGTGTGGTGCTGCGGCCGCCGGGGCAGCAGATATTCCTTTGTGAATGTCACAGCTGCACAGCAACACGAGGTGCATTTGAAGATGAATGCCAGGTCCTGGTTTGCTTTCGAGCAACGATGCGACGATGGGGGCAATCAGCACCCGGCCCCATACCTCCTCCTCTCGTGCTCCTCGTCGCTCCGTGTGCTCGATCCGCCACCTCTCCAACCCAGCGGGGAACGCACTATGTCATGTGCTTCGCCTACAACAAACCCTTTGCGCTCCTACCCACCTTTCCTGACATCCTATCACCCAACCCCCCTCCGAAACGTTTTTATCCTTGTCCTTCCAGTCCGCACACGACACGACACGAAGCGCACCTTGTTCGTCGATTTGTTCCTGAAGCTCCCCGGCCTTGCCCGGCTGTACCACCAACGTGCGGGGCGCCGTGCCTGGGCCGCGTAGGAAGACGACATGGCCTGCAGCCGGCGGACTGGACAGCCCCAGCGCTGCCTGCCACGCGACTGCGGACTTGGAATCGCCCTCCTGCAGCATCGACAGCGTCAAATTCCCACCGAAAGCCACCTTTACCTTGCCGTAACCCGAATTCGAGGTCAGTACAACAGGCACTAAATTTCACACACAGGGCGAACAGCACCTGGCAGGTGCGTACGAGATCGGCAAGACGTCCCCGTCGTTGGGCGCCAGGAGGACGATCGCGGTCGCGATAATGGTGATGATGATGGTGATGGTGATGATGATGATGATGATGATGATGATGATGATGATGATGATGATGATGATGATGATGATGATGATGATGATGATGGTGATGATGATGGTGGTGATGGTGATGATGATGGTGGTGATGGTGATGATGATGGTGATGATGGCGGTGGTGATGGTGATGATGGTGATGATGGTGATGATGGTGATGATGGTGAAGGTACGGCGGTCTAGCGCGGTCATCCCGTCTCCTAGCTCATACAGTCGCGGGCCTCCCCCTCACCTCGCCCATCATAGCTAACCGGCTAACCGTGTGCGCAGCAGCGCTTCCCAATAGATGCCGCACCTGCACATGCCCCCGGGCTACGGTCAGCATGTCTTCATGACGTGACGCCAGCGACCGCAGCGCCAGAGAGCCGCTGCCACCACCGCGGCCGAACGCCACCATGACTACCTTGTACTGCGATGCGCGATGAAGGAAGGTCGCTACATCCTCGGGCTGTAGCTGAGGCACACTCGGCAGGTGCAGCAGCCGGTCGGCCACGAAGTCCTGCAGTGGGGCGGCATGCGGTATGTGAACGAGCAGCAGGTAGGCTTCCTCCTTGCGCGGGCCAACGGGACTGTGGCTCACAGTCCTGTTCCTTTGCGCACCGTCCCTGTGTGCTCAGGCTCAGGTCATGCAGGCAGGGTGGAGCCAACGGTGTGCGCGGCAACGTGTGCTGTCATGTCATGTACACCACCGAGGCCTCCGCAACGGTTCCCCCTCGCAGACATACTAGCATATCGCATGTCCGGGGTAATCCAGGGCCCCCCCCAGGTTGGGGCATTCCCTAATACGCGCTAAAAGCAAACTCGGGGCAGGACCCAGAGCAAGCCCAGCCTCCTTTACAGGCTGCCTGCATCCATGCATCCATTCAATGCCGCATCGCATCCTCGTGCCCAGTGCCCACCTGCAGCGCTGAGAGCCGCAGCGAACCTCGATATCGCCTGCGAGATACCATCATAACACAGTGGCAAGGGAGTCGAAGGCGTCCGTATTCACCGGCTTCTGACCTTGCACCCCCGCACCCGCGTACCACCCCGGAGCTACCAGTCTCAACAGTTCCTCAACACGGCAACACGCAATAACTCCATTCACCCATCCAAGAAGTACGAGTAGTAGGGGCCCCCCTGCAGCGGGAAACCCTGCATAAAGTCTAGTAACGGTAAGAGCTTTGCATGCGGCTTTGGCACGCACATCGCGGAAGCAATGCGCGGACGGGGGATCTTCTTGAACAGGCTTCTGCCTGGGTGCCGGGCCGGGTGGTGAGGAAGCGTCCGCTCTGGGGACCAGTCTGGCGCGGCATCCAGCGATTCAGCAAGTCCAGTCCGACGATGCGGCAGCAGCTGGGAACCGGCTGAGGTACTCTAGGCGGGCTACTCAATGTGCAATTCCCGGCCTTTATCAAAGTGCCATATCATGCTCTCTTCCAAGCTAGGAAACTTAAAAGCAGCGGCTACAGTTGCAGGACACAGCTGTGGGCGACAGCTGCGTGCGCGTCAGCTCACATGAAGCAGCTGGTGTCGGAGCAGCCCGCGGGCACGGCCATCAGCAGCGGCATCTCGTCCTCCCGCATGATGTCAGAGAATGGTCCCCCCCTCTTCGTGGCAGTGAGGCAAAACAGACGGAAAGGCGAGGGCAGCGGCGAGGGGTAGGGACCTCGGAGGCCGCTTCAGTGAGCTTCACAGCAAATGCATTTGAGCATTTTTGTCAGTGTAGACCGGGCAGGCAGCCGTAACGCACAAAAGGCGGAGTAGGTTGCGATCGAAAAGGTTGAGGCATCAGGAATCCACGGCACCCTGAACGCACACTGCCCGCGGCAATCAGCTATGATGTGCATCTGCCACGAGCAGTGAGCCAAGCACACTAGCGCCAAGCACACTAGCTGCATCCCGGTTGGGCGTCCATGAGGCCAGCCCCTCTCGCCCCTAGGTGGCCCTGCCGACGCATGGCGGTCCAAACTCGATCCTGCCCAGCCCAGGCCGCTTTTCCTAGTCGGCCTACAGAACACAGCCCCAAACCTGTACCGGCCAAGTCTGTCTATCTGCCTGGCAATGCACACCCGCGCTCAGCCGGCTCCACAGTCTCGCTTACCCGCGCAATCAGCTGTACCAAGTTTTTTTGAAACCGGGCGTGGATGCGCCCCAGACCCACTGATGCACCGTCGCTGTTGCCGGCTCCAGCCGTGTTGCCGCCCAGGGACTTCCACAACGCCTCCCATGTGGGCACGAAGTCCCGGCAGGCCGACGAGCTCTCCGTGTAGATCTGTGGGTTGAATCGCCGATGGGTAGATTTACCAGGGAAACAGGGTACCATTGGCACGGAAAATTGAGCATGGGATCACAGCGGATCCCCTGACTTGGGAGCTGAGGACGCCTGACCAACTCCGTGGCTAGGCAAGGAAAGCGAAGTGCTGACAGACAGTTTGCGTGCCTGTTGGTTTGTGCTGTCGTGCAGGGCACGTCCCTCGTCACACGGACCCTTGCAATGGCGCCGGAAGCGGGCATCCGGAGGCGGCATTTGACATAACCAAGGAGGGGCCCGGTCAAGGAAAACAGAGGTCGCATCACGGGTTCGTAACCCACCATTATCAGCCATGGTCGCCCGCCGTACATGACCAGGGCGCGGAAGTTCGAGGCCGTGAGAAACGAGGTGTTGGAAGGTAGGGCACGTTCGTACATCTGCTCCTGTTGCTGCTGATAGAAGTGGTACTGCTGCTGCTGCTGATAATAGTGGAAATGGTGGTGATTGTAGTGGTGCCTGGGAAAGCGGCATCATGCATGACGTGACCGGCTAACAACAACCAGCCTTATGTATTCAGCTTCTGTAGCGTAGGACTACGCAACTGCAAGCCCTAGTCGGACATAAACAATAAAGCTTCTACAACAGGACCACGCTGAATTGGGGAGATTGAGGGAAACCCACATCGGTGAGACCTTACTGCTCGGTCGCTAAAAAGAAGAGGGTGTCCTCAGGCCACGAAGCAAGGCCTGCCTTTCATGCAGAAAGACCTGGGCAGGCATTGTATTCGTCGTGCAGGTGAACTTTGCACTTCACCCGTACCTGGAGGACTCCTGCACACACAGGGGCCATGATGAAAAAAATCAGAATCACGCTATTAGAATACCGGGGTGGGGCCAATGCTACACATATTCGAAATACGCACACCTGACGTCTCAAAACTAAAAGACAGCCCGAGCGATAGGCCGAGCTAAACCCCACTGATATCCGCACGTGCATGCAGGCTTAGCAGAAGCGCACCTGATGGTGGTGGTGGTGGCCGTAGTCCCCGCCTGCACCGCCACCCACGTCGTACTCACGTTTCTTGTCCGGGTTCGACAGAATTTCATAAGCTTGCTACATGTGCGACCAATATAGGGTTAGTGCGGGGTCATGAGCTGCAATGTGCGGCCTAGGTCTGCGTGTGGCAACAGCCAAGTCAGCCGTCGCATTTTCACGGCACACCCGGAGCGAATGTCCCCGGGTTGGGTGCATGCTACCTCATAGGAGACCTTTCACCTCCAATAACCTCAGGTTCATACCTGGATTTCAATGAACCTAGCTTGTCCTTTTGGGTTTTTGTCCGGATGGTACCTGCACCGCGTTTTGAGCGTCCTAAGACACGGCCTACATGGTAGTCTAATGCACGCGGCGAACAACACTGGGGGGAGCATTCCACAGCAGCAAACGGCCGCAGGTACAGTGTAGTGACGACGTGTCATGGTTACGACTCCGCACAGCTACTTTTAACTCACGTAAGTGCAAGCTTCTTGTATGCCTTTTTTATGGAAGCATCATCGGCTCCCTTTTCAACGCCCAATACCTACACAAATGTCACCAGGTGCTTATGACACTCCTGCTAAGCACGACGCAATCGCCCCGTTGATTTCACGGCGTGCGCGTGCAAAGACACAACAAACTACACCTTATATGGGTCCTTGTTGTATCCAAGTACAGAGGACAAAAGGAGGCATAGTATCACCGCATAGAAAAGAGAGCTTGTGAAGGGCTTCATGGAAGCGAATTATTTATCCAATAACAGAACTTCACATTTCTATGTATTTTTAATAACGCATGATTACATTGGGTAGGAGGAAAGGGTTTGTGTGCTACTAACGTAACAGGACCAACAACGAACTGAGTTTCGTGTTGTACCGGAACCTCGTATCAATTAAAAAGTGCCGTTGCGTGCCATAGCAAGGACACTGGTGACATCGTATCGCAACCCTCAGTGGTGCAATACTTCGGCTGGCCAGCGACACGACGGCGCCATGTTGATAGCAGTTACATATTGGTTTCAACAAGGGATGCTGACACGGCTAGCCGACCCTTTTCAAATTACACACAGGGTTCACTAAAATCTCAAATGTTGGCAGGAGCCCATGACATAGTGTTGCTGTACTGCACGTCCAATGCCGAACCTTCATGCCGCCATCGCCCAGCTGTTCGGTACAAAACTATCCTTAGACGTTCATACACGGACCACTGTGCCTGTCCTGCTTACCACACAAGTCAAAGTCCGATGTCCCTTTTAAGACACTGTAAACGCCACAGCCCACTCCCTGCGGTGCAACCCTAGGTATTTCAGGGTTGCTCACGGCACCGGCCCACAACGGATCCGTAGGACTGTAGCGCCTAAGCCTTGCCAAACTTCCTAACCACCTGGTCACATTACGCCTCTCCATCCCCATCCCCGTCAAGCCCCCAGTCATCATCCAGGTCTTCAGCCGCCACATTGCCCGCGTCTGGAACCCCGTCGCCAGCTGGGTCACCTGTGAAGGGCCGAAGGTCAGGTCAGCCATGTCGGTCTTCCCCCTGTAAGAAGGTGTGTAGCACTACGTCACTTAACGCGTTTGATTCCTTCCCAAGGCTTTTCAGTACTGCAGCGTCAAAGAATCCTGATAAGCCAAACCCCATCTCAAGGGTGTCCACACTTACCGAAGGGATCCTCGTCCTCGTCCTCCACCCCTGCCTCAGCCGCAGGTTCAGTTTCAGATGACTCTGGCGTTGCCGCCGTCGCCGGCGGCGGCGCCAGTGCGGGTGGTTCCTGAAAGCAACACCCGGTTGCAACCGCAATGTCAAGGCATTGCTGTATATCACCACTTTCCAAACCGAGTTTTGAGACTGTGGTCTCCCTTACCTCCTCTGCTTCCGCTTCAACCTCGACACTTGCATCGTCTTCCCCAGCCTCCTCGGCCTCCTCCATAAGCTCCTCCTCCTCCACAGCCTCTTCCTGCATCGCCTCAGCCTCCTCACACTCTGACACCTGCAGCCGCTCTAATAGCCTTTCTATGCCTCCTTCCACGGATCCGGCTGTGACTGCCACGGCGTCCAGATAGGCACTCGCGGGCACCGGGTTGGACCGCTGCTGACCTACATAGCACAAGACGTGTCAAACGAGATCAGGTTTAGAACCATTGCCTTGTCCGTGCCTTGTGCCGTGTACCGCGGCATGCGCCTCAGCGCAGCATGGACAACCAAACATCCAAATCAAATGAAACATACCGAGAAGCTTCTCCGCGCGTAGCGCCTCCTCTAGATGCGGGAAAAGGTTTGGATACGCCGCAGGGTCGGCCAAGGCCTCGGCCGCCTGCAAGGCATGAATTCACACACAAGGCACTTGCTGTCAACGTGCTTGGGTGATGGCTTTTAATAAGCACCAAATGCCGTGGCTTGCTTGTACAAGTGGGTAGGCGGCACAGGGCGTCCCGAAGCAGTTCCACATAAATTCTACATACCTTCGGGTTGATGGCGGCCAGGTCTGCTTTCCATTTCACAAGCGCCGGTGAGATAGAAGATGGCAAGTACGTGCGCGCGAAGAAAGCTGCCTCGGGCAACCTGGCGGACGATTCAAAGGGAATTGAATGTGTCTTGCATTTTTCCGTCCTTACAAAGTGATTCCAGCATCCATCATAGCCACCCATGCCCCACCCAAACGTTAACAGACCCTGCTCGCCTGTGGGACTCAAGCAGTAAGGAAAGGCAGTCCTCCAACCGACCGAGAAGGAATGAGGCGAGAAAAGCCACATTTGTCTTGCCGCCAGCTGTCGCGGCAGCGGCAACGGCTGCCATACCGGTGCGGTCGCCGCGTGCTGCCGCAAGCATGAGCAGGCCTGAGAAGTCTGAAGCGCGCGTCAAGCATTCCGCTGCAAGGTCCAACTTGCCTGCATGACATTTATTAGGATACAATCTTGCGTGATGCTATAACAGCAAATGCTGCAGTCGGGATAAAATGCTTTAACATACGATCAACACCTGTGACAGGGATCAGAGGTACGGCAAGGACGAGCGCACCTGCCGTCAACGCCATTTCGCCCAGCTGCTTCCATTTGGCTGTACTATCCAGCGTCACCGCAATTTCCTGCGCCACCTCCAGGTCGCCTAGCTGCACCGCTAGATCGAACCTTGCAAAATACGACGGAAGACCAGTTAGCCAAAAGCGTATGATGGGCTATAGGAGCTGCATGCGATTATGCCGCACATCTAATACCGGGACGGCTTTATCAACTCCCATTTTGCAAGGCATGAAATCTCCACAAGCTCCCCAATGTCAGAAAGCGACGTACCTGTAATCCTGGTCCGTCGCCACCTGCAACGCCGTGCTCAACATGCCCTTCGCCTCCAGGAAGCGCGCCACGCTGTTGTGCTGATCCTACACAACGTCCAAAGACAGGGAGGAGCACGATGGATGCTCGGAAATCCAATATGATAACTGATTATTACGTTACCTGTAAGACGACCAATTACCGGCCTCAGTAATGCACATCAAACCAAACTAGGAGATATTGCACCCGCTACTTAAAATGGTGCGCAACTCCTGACAAACCCTCCCTGCAACACTCCACCGTGATAACACACCGCAACCCGCAGACCTGGGGAATGCTTGGCAACAGCTCCATGGCCGAGTCCAGTTCTCCTGCCGTGATGCGTGCTTTAAATTCAATTAGGGACAGCAGAAGTGTATATGATACGATGTTGAACTCCCTGCGAATTGGGCATGCAAGAACGAGAAGTACAATAATAATTGGGGATGGGTTTAGATATGCCAGCAATGCTCTGGTCAGGCGTCATATCAGCACACCTATGTAATAAGCGATACTATGAGGAGGCCAGTCCGCAAGTCAGGCGTAATCAAAAAGCGGGACGTTTGGCGTTTGGATACCGCGCGTCTGGCCATGATGTTAATAGCCGTGGTGTAGGGAAACAAATGAATAGGATCTCACTGTGCGCGGCCCCACCGGAACTCGATCGTCCCTTTCTAGTTCCTACGGTTCTGACTGCTAAACGGGGTGCTCAAGCCAGCGCCTATCGCAGACTATCCTGAAGGCCCTTGGGCCCTCTCGTTTCGTATGGGCAGGTTAGCTCGATTATAAACTCTTGTCCATGCGAAAAACATACGCACACACACACACACACACACACCACAATGAGTTCCTACAAAGTTTACATGGAATATCATGTCCAATCACGGTGAGAATGAAATACGAAACATATTCAAGTTTATCCTCATGCTCACTTGTCGATGAGGAAGACGCGGTTCTGCGCCGCGAGATACCCCAGCAGGTACATGGGCCTATCCAGATGAACGACCGTCGTCACCTCCCCACCGACGCAGTAGTTCAGGCGCCAAGCAGTGTTGTTGTATACAAAGCATTCGCCCACCCAGACGCAGGTGCGAACCCGCTCGCTGACCTCAGCCTGTAGAGGAGTTCAAGCAATTGTTGGTCAGGACTTGCTACTGTGTGCATCCTCGCTGGGTGCCGGGCCTCATTCAGCTGCAGGATTTAGTTCAGCTGCTGAACTTCTCACCAGAAAGCAGATAGCCTTATCGCACCTGAAGGTCGAAGGCGTCGTCTACACCATCATCTCCGGCTGCGGTCCCAGACGCGAAGTGCTCCTCCACCAGCTCTCTGCGGCAGCGGTCCAGGCAACATTATTTGAGGGGGTTAACTCCTGAGCCCACTTCCGGCTAGGTAAAAGCGAGCCCCACAGTGCCGAAGCAGGCACTAATTTGCAACAGTTATAGATTGTTATTGATATCCCTCTACATGCATACTGCTGTCAAGTACTGAAGGCAGTGGTCACCACGCACTTGTTGTATTTTAGGATATAAAAGCTCGAGTCGCCCAGGATAGCCACGGTGTTGCCGCTCTCGCTCCAGTGAACCGACTTGGCTGCGACGTCGATACGGCGCACTACACGTCCCTCCCAATCGTAGAACACGATGAAGTCAGAGCCACGCACCGACACGAGTGTGCCCCCATGGATGCCCTCAGCATTAAAACCTAGCGACACACTGTGCTTCTCCTGAGGAAATGGGCGGATCATCGGGCGATTAGCCTCATTAGCGAAACAATGATTTATTGCTTACCAAGACCCCCACGTAAATACAGGTTAAGGCAACGGCGCCAAGACAGCTTAGATGGCCTGCTGATCTTCCGAGGAAGTCGAGCTGGAAGAGAAGATAGCATACAGGCGGTTCCCGGCAGCCAGAGCGCCCATGCCGAACCTGAAAGTTCTTGTAAATCTTAATCTTGCTGGGCGATTCGCGGATCGCGTAGTCGCTGCTGTCTGCGCTCCAAACGAACTCCAGGCCGCTGCCAAAAGCCTTGTTTCTCCAGGCCAACGCCGTGTAGACGATGTACTCGCCTGTAGGGCGCATGGGGCCAATAGTGCCTTCGCCATTCGTAACCAGCTACTACCTGAGTGCCTGACAACGCCCTTCTGCACCCTTGGATTTATTGGAAAGGATCCTCCACCATGCCCAGTTGTTGTATCCGCGCTTACCATCGCCACAAACAACCACGAAACGTCCGTTCGGGTTATGTTGGAGGCTCTGTGGGTAAAGATCACACGAGCCCAGGTCCTTGACCGGCAGCGGCAGCCTCTCGCCATCAACCATCTCAAAGTCCGCACCAAGGGCCTTGATATTTACCGTCTGCACGCAGGACATAAGCATTCATATCGAAAAGGCCCCGCCAACCGCATCCCGATCTTCGTTAAACTGTGCTAGCTCAACGTACCTTGCTGATGTTAGCTAGGGACATATACCTTAAGAGAAATCAACACTGGCTAGCTTCCTCCCCGCAATTACACACCTGAATTTCGTTGTGCCTGGCCCAAATAATCTTTCCGCTATTGTCCATAGAAGCAACGGGCTCGTCGCGGCCAATCTGCGGGCAAAGACGTGCGTTGCATCAACGCCATCCGCATCACCCGTCCATCCATCATGAGATGCTCAACAAGAAGCCCTACCTTCAGCATCACGACACCCTCATCGTAGCCGATGGCAATGCTGCGTCACGGGGACAACAAGGGCATCCCTATTAGCACTCCAGCACGCAAGGATACTGATGTGTGTGTACAGTGGCAAAGATCCATACCAGTTCGAGCCCTTGCAATAGCCCAGACTCCAAACGCGCTCCATGCGGTGGTCCAACGTGTTTTCCAGGCGATACGTCGTGCTGTGCCACAACTTGACGGTTCCATCCTCAGAGCCCTACGGCGATAAGACAGACTGATATAAGATCTTATGCAGTCAAATGCACTTCTAACTCTGGCCTCAGGCTGCACCATCTACATTTCGCCCAGCAAGCATCTTTTACAAGTCGAGAAGGACCCAGCAGTTTCGTACCGTGACAATGATGGGAAGCTCCGGATGGAAGATGGCAGAGGAGATATTGTGCGCGTGGCCCTGCATTTGCGACGCAGGACGTAAGCATTGGAACCTCCATGTAACTACTCGCTCAAGGAAAGCGCAGCTGGAACGGAGAGGCCCCATGCACAAGAACTCACAAAACGCAATTTTGCCTTACCTCCAGGGTCGTGACGCAGGCCTTCGTCTGATAATCCCAGACTTTGACAAGCCTATCGTCCGCGCCGCTGATCAGGTACGGCCGATCGCCACCTGAGGAAAGGAATGGAATGCCACACCTTGTACCAGCACCCTTTACCGAAAGTCCACCTCAGAAAGCAGCAGCAGGAGCAAGCCAACAGCCCATCCTTGAACACCCACCTGTGAAGTAATCCACGCAGTTTACCCCTTTCTCATGCCCCTCCAGCGTGAAGTTAGGGGTAGGCTGGCCCAGGCTCCACACCTGCGGATATGATTGCAATCAAAATGTCACTCACTTCTTACTTAGACAGCAAACGTGGTCACGCGTTTTTCTTCGCAAATTTACAAAACGTACCTTAATCGTCCGATCCAGCGACGCCGAGGCGAACGTGTTGGTATCCTTTGGGTTGAAGGACACTTGCATAACATAGTGCGAGTGCCCCTCAAACACCTGGACGCAATTCCACCCCTGCAGATCGTGTAAGGGCAGCTGTCATTGCAGACCGATGACTTCATTAAGCAACAGAGAGACGCCCCTACTCCGGTTGTCAGGATAGTTGGCTAGGCTATGGGTGTGTGAACTTAGGCCGTTTACCTTCTCCCAGTCCCAAAGCTTGATGAGCATATCGTCCGACGAGGTCAGGATGTACGGCATTGTCGGCGAAATGGCGATGCATCTGTTGGCGATACGTGGGCATGTGCAAACGTTCAAGAGGCTTCTTAGAAGTAATTGACTAAGGGCACCATGAAACGTACCTGATGTAGTCTGTGTGAGCTTCGAATGTCTTAACTTTATCCATGGTGTTGTAGTTATACACCCGAATGAACATATCATCCGAGCCTGTAATAACCCATTGCTTCCGAGCGACGAATTTAGAGGCACGGACAGGAAGTTCTGTCACCTCAAACGACTTGACCAGGGTCTGCAGTGGGAGAGCACTGGTGAATGGCTGTGAGCTCCGTAGCACCCGAACTAAGGCAGGGCCACCCGAGCAGTCTGCCGCAGCTGTGACTTAATTCAGTTTGCTGCCTGCTTCCCGAATGGATAACCTGTTATTTCCCCTAGGATGCCACACAGAGCTCTTTGACACGCCCGAGTCACAGATAAAAGTGCCAAGGGGCTTACCTGGTCCATGTAATTCCAGATGTACACATTGCCGTTATACAGATTCGCCAAAATCCTGGAATGCAGGGTGAGGAATGTCTCGGCATAGGCCAAGCAGCCTGGCGCAGGATGGAGCAGGCTGATGGCAACACGTGCGCCTTTCCCCCCACCACGTCTAAGCAGGAGGCTTATGCTAAAAAATGGAAAGGACTGCTTGGCTACTTCTGCGGCTCCTGGTTTTGGACTCACCAAGGCTCCGTGGGGTGCACATCAACACCCTTTACACGGTCCGTCCGCTGGACCAGCTGCTTCTGCAAGCAATTACATATTCAGCTGTTAGCATCGTAGAGAGTAATTAGAAACCTAAGAGTCGACCAACTATACCGTTGCATGAGACGAGCCCGATGGGAATAAGCATAAGCATCAACGCAACCATAACTGCTAACCTTTATCTCCAGCCGAAGCGGCTTGAGTCCAATTGTGCGAAGTGCGAAAGCGGGACGTGTAAGCGTAAGCAGATCAAGATGGGCAACCGCCGAAAGCGCTCTACACACCTACTATAACCAGCTTACCATTTTATCAACCTAAATCCTTAGCGCCTTAGTGATTAGGGTCGCCTCTCGTGCAGAGTGCACGAGGACGAAGATGGCTACCCTGACCAATTGCAGCAAGAAGTCAACACAAAAGGAACTTACAAAAATTACCACCTAAGCATTGGCTATCTACTTTGCAGTATGCACACTATGAGGATGCGTGAAACAGGAAGTACCACCCTTGTACGGCAAACGCTGTTTTCTATTGGTAAGCTGCACATTTTCAGGTTACTTTACACCTTGTATTGACACATATTTGACACTGTACCCTTGGATGTTCATCGCGGAGGCCTTGTAATCCTTGCACGCGTTTCCTTTCGTGGCGCCTAGGCAGAAGACTTGCGATGACTGCGAACGTGTGCTGGATTGGATGTCTGTCATTTTTGTTGAGTTGGATGTCTGCCTGGTGATGTTACACATGCATGCATCTTGACGCATCTCCTGCTAGCAACCGTTTAGGGTGCTGCTTGGCTTCGGAGGCTGCCGTTTCACGGCGTCAATGACGATGACTGCGCCACATGTTACAAGGAATTGCGATTGATCCTCTCTACTTACGCCCTCTAACCTAACGCCCTGTTGTCACAAGCAGAGCAACAAATCTGCAAGCATTAGCAACCCAACATCTGTATCGCTCCACTCTACACCCCTGACGTCGCCCGCACACAGCTTTGCTGTAACAACAACTTTTTGCAGAGCAGTGAAAATCACAGGCAGAACTTCCAAACGCTCAAGTCCCCGTGGACATCTGAAAAGACACGTCTGAATTAAAATCACAATTGAGTGTCGACACAGCAATTCCGAATCCCCAAGCGCACATGACATGGCGCGCCCATAGCGTTAAGACCCGACGGGAACAAGCTGCAAACATAGCTAGCATTCTGAGTCTTGGTACGTCTCTCAGTATATCGGTGCATCGCACTCATGTATACGGCCGCGTATGCACGCCACGAGGGCCAAGACTGCCATGCGAAACTGAAGTTGCACGACCACCAAACAAAACACAACGAAGCAAAGTTTTATATAACAGGTGTATACACGACGAGTACTTTACAAAAAATACTTATTGCATAGCGTACATTATCAGGTATCATACGTTAATACAACACGTGAGGGCCCAGAAATGCAGGTATGCCCCGAATGCATGAAAGAAGCAACATGCTCTAGCATTCAGATCTTCTCAGAGGACGAACAATGCTGGTGAAATCCCCCTTTCTAAAGAAACATGTGGGCATGCATTCCAATCCGGATCCTCCTGCACCTGGAAATCGGAAACCACAATCGGAGCTAAAAGGAATGCTGCATATTCCCGTGCTGGTGCCCTTGCAAAGCCAGCCCCAAACCACCCCTTCGTCAGTTCATACGTTGGTATACCTGCGGCACCAACTCTATATGCAAGTTAGGTGTGCTTAATCCGGAATATGAACGCCGATCACGCAGCATTCAGCAATGACCACAGGACGTGAAGCTTCCCGTGACCACATTATGAAAGTAAGGCCACCGCAAGCGTATACCGAACACCAAACGTCATTCCGAAGAAAGTACTACGGGAATTTTGAAACCCAGAAACCTGGCAAGGAAGAGCGGAAAGCTGGCGACCAACGCAAACCTCAGCGGTGACCAGCGAAGAGCAGCTCGTTCAACACCTGTAAAAGTATTCTTTGTCTTAGATGGGATCATGAAAACTCGTAAGCCCAGAGTCAACGCCCAGAGGCAACACCCATGAGCAACGATAACTGGAATTACATCGCGGAGGCTTACATACAGACACTAGAGAAGGTTCCGAGAGACCATTCGCTCCTTACCAGCGCGATTATTGTGGCTGTAAACGTTATCCCAAGAGCAGTGAACGGGTCTTGGTCGTGAGCATATACGCAGTAGCCAGTTACAATCATTGCACCTATTCCAGTCGAAGTGATGTCATAGCGCTGCATAAGGGAACACAGGCTTTACAGATATGTGCAAGGGTATGTGATGCAGCGGGTAAAGGAAAAGGCGCCTATTTGATCTTTACCCTTAAGAATGTATTAACAGCCGCTTGAGCGTTGCGCAGAGGGTCTTGCAGTTCAGCACGGATAACCGTGCCAGTCCTTGTCAATGCCTTGCGCCGAGCCATGCACGACCGGAAAAATACAGGCCGAACCAAGCCAAACTGGCGCTGAACACTAGGCGCGCAAGATCGTCGAAAAATGTTCTCATGGTAGCGGTTAAGGTTCGCTGTTGCCATAGCTTGCTTAAAGGAGCGAAGTAAAGTTCGTGTGTAACCTAAGAGACCTCACGAAAAAATGAAACCAGTTATAATATATAAACCACCATACAGTGTTGGAAAATGTGCGGAATGAGAAGGAAGATTCGGGTCTTGCATCTGGATTTCCTGGTACGGAAGCTAGTATAATCCAAATCATGTGGGGCGCAACTTTATCGAAGTGTGCGTTAGAAGCATATCACTGTTCCAGCGTCCTTGAACTGGCGGTCTTCTACCAAAGTGAAAGTCCTGTGTTCTTGACCCGGGGGACTAAAAACGCGTGAACTTATCAGCTGACACTTTCGGATCCCCGTCCGTCATCATGATCAGTCCTATCACAACTTAAGCTGCAAGGCCCATTGACATTGGCCCACACGTATTAGTCTCCACTGCTAAAGTTAACCGTAACCTTTAGGAAGGCCCCTGCGCTGCTGGCCCTCAGTAGGTTCCCTGGCGATCTCAACGAGATGCGAATCCACCGACGTCGACAGGGACATCGGCCTACGAAGACTTCACAGCGAAAGCGCTGCTGTTCTCACATTAAGACGCATGCTCAGAAGAGGATACCTCTCTCATTCGACATTACAGGATCTAATGCTTCACAGTATAATCACCACACCATCTCTCATTGTTAGGCAACTAATCAAACTACCGAAGTGTCAAGCCTGAGTGTACCTAAGAGCACTTTCCAACACTCATGAATGCTTTAGCAACTTGCTCTTGCGAACATTTCATAGTGGAAGCTACGTGAGTTTTCACCCTGGTTTCTTGGGGTATCGGACCAACCGCAACTGAAAACATTTAAACAGAACAATGTATAAGCAGTTATATAAAGTGAATGGTATAGGTGGGTCACGGTCTTATGTTGTTCCTCGTCTGTAACGTAAACAAATTTCAAAGCCCCGCATTCCGCGGTCAAACAGCTCTCAGCGTTCACCCTCTCACAACCATCAACCAAGCAACTCCATGCCAACTAAGAACACTGCTTTAGAGGATGCTGCGCCCAAGGAAGTCCAGCTTTGCGCGGTTGGGACGGCTCCAGGGCAATTGCGCAGGGGTCCCAACTGATGGCTGCGACTGCGTTGGTGTGGGGGGATGCGGGGGCGGGCCCATGCCGCCGGGTGCAGCCTGCGCAGAGGGGGATGGTGATGACGTGGGGGGTGATTACAGTGAGCATGTTAAGAACGCGAAAGCTCATAGGAAAAGAGCATTGCAAGCGGCAATAGTAAACCAGAAGGGCACCTGCGTCATACCTTAGCGCCTGCGCCTGATGCGGATGTGGAGAGCCCGTTCACCGCAGCACGACGCTGTTGCCGGGCCTGAATTCAACCCGAGGGCCGCGGCAAGGCATGTCGTGAATGTATAAAACCTCAGGTTTGGACATCAGGTTTGGAATTTTATCGATCTTCACCCCTACTGTACTGTAAGCTGTCGATAGTGCTTAAATACAGAGTCGCAGCACACCTGTTGTTGCGAAGAGTTACCGCCACTGAGCAATTCGTTCTCGTAAGTTGGCGCGAAGCCGGTCGCAATGATCGTGACATGCAGCTCACCGTCGTACTGCTCGTCCACAACTGCGGTGCAGAAACAGCGCGTGCACACTCTCATAAATGGGCATATAACGAGCCTCTTGTGGTAATCCAAAACAATTGTGGCTCCCGAGGAGCGAAATTGGATTGAAGGGCAACGGTATCTTGCACCCACCTGCTCCAAAGATGATGTTGCACGATGGATCCGCAAGCGCCGTCACCACCTCAGAGACCCGGTTGACCTCGGCGAGGGTAAGATCCCGACCGCCGGTGATGTTGTAAACAATGCCTGTTGCCTTCTCAATACTGCGTTGAATGAGAGGAGCTGACGTTGCAGCCATGGCCGCCTGCTCAGCACGATCTGGGCCGCCTGGAGTTATCGTGGCCGTCGATGCCGCACCAACACCAAGCATCGCCGTCCCTACAAATTAGAACACCATCAGGATGATTACATCCATCGAGTCTTGCGTGGTAAGGAATTGGGGGTTCCTTAACAAGGGAAAAAACAGATGATCGAGGCTTGACGTACCACTGTTGGACATGATTGCCTTGACGTCTGCAAAGTCAACGTTGATGAGACCGGGCACCGTGATGATGTCGGAAATGCCCTGTAAACAAGAGGCCATGAGGTGTGGTTCAACTCATGCTGCAAGGGTATTCTAGGTCCAATGGTGAACCACGGGCGCTCGTCGTAAGTGCCATCAGCAGCCAGATGCTTGCAACTTCGCAACAGCATTCAGCGCATCATAAGCGCATACAAATCCGAAAAACACTGGGTAGATCTCTCCTGATTGCCTACTGACCTGCACACCTTGCCTTAGCACGTCGTCAGCCAACGCAAAAGCGTCCTGAAGGGCGGTGCTGGCAGAGGCGACGTCCAGCAGCCTGTCGATGCGGCACAATACACGAGCACTCCCGTGATAATTGTTAAGTTGACAGCCGCACAAACAGTTGGCGTGTCGCTCCAATCAGGAAAAAGTCTAAGATAGATTCGGACATGGGTGCTTCAGATGTTGATGGCGTTGTGCAACAGCTGTTGTATGCATGAAGGAGCCCCGACATGCATCAGACAGGTTCGTGGGGTCTTGATCGCGCCCTCCGGAAGGCCGATCGGCAACGTAGCAAACGCACCGATCGTTGGGGATGACGATGACGCTATCCACCGCAGCGCGGAGCCCCTCGATGCCTTCCAGCGCTTGACCGGCACGACGGCGGCCCTCGAAGTTAAAAGGATACGTCACAACTCCCACGGTCAAGATGCCTGCACGGGTCCGATGCGGCAGGGAACCGATAGTACTCTTGCTATGATTCACCACGTATCAGCCAAAGGATGGCGTCATGCTAATACGGCAGCTCACCCAACTCCTTGGAGATTCGGGCCACCACCGGGGCAGCTCCAGTGCCTGTGCCGCCACCCATACCCGCCGTAATGAAGACAAGATCCGCGCCCTGCACCAGCACATCCCGTACCAATGTTAAGGCGTACGCCAATCGCGCATTTCACCTATCTTCATCGCTCCAGACCCAACATATTCGGGGGAGGGCCGTGAAACTGTCGTGGTCCCGTACCCAAAAAGCAGCTTTGCCCACGTCCAGATTAGGAAGAAACAATGTGATTCAGTCACGCAGGGAGCCCACCTGCACCATCCGCCGAAGAGCATCCTCGCTTTCAAGCGCAGCCTGACGCCCTAGTTCAGGGTTGCCGCCACAGCCCAGTCCGCGGGTGAGCTCCGTGCCGATCTGGACCTTGTTCAGGGCCTGATGAGCCGCAAGCGCTTGAGCATCGGTGTTTATGGCCCAGAACTCGACTCCCTGTCGTGGACGTGTGGTTGTCGAAAAAAGTTTGGCAGCCAAGTTATCGGTGCGGCATTTGATAAAATGTTCAGGTGCGAACATTATTGGAAAGCTACGGTTGATTATAGTTCTGCCAATTGATAGAACGCCCTGTTTTTCGTACCTGAAGGCCGCTGCTGATCATACGGTTCAGGGCGTTGCCACCACCACCGCCCACTCCGATCACCTTGATGCGTGCATCACCGCCAAAGGGCGTATACCTGTGAAACCGAATCGTAATATCAGAAACAACCTTAAGGTGCAAGGTCTTCGTCTTCCTATATGGTGGTCCTATGGTGGTACATGCTAAGGATGTTTGACCCAACGCAACAAAAACATGTCGCCAACGCACCCGGTGCTAGCAACTGTCATGCTCTCGCGCCCAGGCCTCCGATGACATGGCATTACGTGGGTGAAAGTCGATGTTCGGGCTGCGTTGCTATGTGATGTCCCAACTGCCGGGCAAAGCCAATTTCCGATAGTTTGCGGCATAGCACATGACCGGATGTGGGGTATGCTGACTGTTGGGCACGTGTTGCACGCTGCTCGCTTGGTAAGGACTGAACCAGCAGCGAGCATCTTCGCTATATTGAACTGACCGGCAAAGTACACCTGCGACAGATCACAGAAACGACATAGAGACATGATTCCATATGAAATGAAACTGAAAATGTAATTTAAATGTAGCGGTCAGTGGTATGGATTCTAGCTCTGAATGCGTGGAGCCAAGTTTGACCTCCTGCTCCAGAAAAGCAGAGTTGCTGTTTGCATTCAGACAGGGGCACGTGCACTTCTGGTTGGTGAGAAGGAAGGTCCTTGCTTGAGGTCCTTGATTTCTTCGCAGAAGGCGACCCTACCTTACGGGACAGAAAAGGAGTCGAAGACGGCTATGATGATCTCTGGAACGCAAGCACTAAATCTTTTACTCGTTTACAGTTTAATAAAAACTCCAGAGAAATGGGGTGGACACATACTTGGCTCTCAAATTTACCGCCAAAACGCGGCTTCGGAACCACAACGTACAACCGTTTTTACAGGTCGTTTGCAGGCTGCAGCCAGTAAGTCGCATCGTCGGGACTCTTCACATATGATTTGCTTGTGCTATTCAACAGACAAACCTGATGAGCAAATAGACGCTTTTGATTGTGTGCGTCAATAGAGCACTTTAACGCCGCCTTCGTTTCGTGAGAAACAAAGAATCAAGTTTGATTAATTTTCTCAGGAGGTTTACCCAGGGGCAAGGGAAGACAGCCGGCAACCTTCAGACTTGTTCTGTCCAGCATGCTCCTCATGCAGTTACTGTGCTGGTAACTTGATGGAAATCCACAGAAGCGGCGCACTATGGCTGTTGAGGGCGACAATATAGGTGGCGACATGTGCTCAGACCAACACTCTTCAGCACCAAACTTTGCGTGTCCTTCCACTGCGAGGACGAGTCCTAGATTGTCCTGCCCTTCTTCCACTTTTCATGGCGCACGTTAAGACGCATCCAATGATCAGTGGGCACATCAGGTCGCCCATCTCACCATCCAAATAAATAGGGCACCTGGGCAAGTACCGTGGGTTCTTAGGGACATCTGCGATGGCGCGACTGTGTGAAAAAAGTAGACTGGGCCGCGTAAGACTACAGCGAGATAGCGACGAAGTCCGGATTCAACCGGAATACATACGCTGTCCATTGAGCGATAGCCATGGCTGTAGCAATGCCGGACAGCTGCGCTGTCAGCCGGTGGGCAAGCGCCATCCATGCAAACACCATAACAGGTTGGCCGCCACCAAGGTTTTCAGCCCAGAAATACCAGGCTACGGCAGCTTTGCCCGCATAACTTATCAGGAAAATTATGCTCTACACGTCCCTCACATGCACCAGACGATTTGGGCTATGCGGTACAGAGCCAAAACAGGGCCCGGAAACACTGTCTTAACCCTTTCGGGAAGCTCGCACTCCTTCCGAGGTGTAACACACACACACACACACACACACACACACACACACACACACACACAGCATCCAGCAAGTCCAACCCTGTCGACAAGTACCAAAAGTGCTGAAAAGACATTCGTCCAAAAAATATTTCGGGTAGACAAGAAAGCAGTACCGCACAGGATGGCACGCATAGCTCCTGCCTAATGCCTCTATCTTATGTCCCGTGCCCTAGTGCAACTCCAGACGACCCAAACCAGATAGAACCGGACTCCTATCTGAACAGTGCTGTTACTGTACTATGGACAATCAAAGCCCCTTACAGTAACAACGGACCGCCAAGCGTTTGCTATGCTTTTATGCACATACATGCACGCATGTGAGCTAAGTTTTAACGCATGAATCATTACTGTAATGTTCCCTACTTGCGAATCTCAGAACGCTGCTCCTTAACCAGCTAGATCGTCAAGTCGCTCGTGGACATGTACCACAGTATTCGTTGGCCCCTGGCAGCTGGCCTGCTAGTCACGCAGACACGCGGACGCACTCCATCGGCGCTGGCGTCAAGTCTGGAATCATTCAGCCAGCGTTCTCGACAAGACGCGACGCCAACAGACCGAGGAGCGTCAGGCACGGAGATGAATATGGCTAATTATCCTCTATCAAGCTCAGTTTTGGCTATGATGCGAAGGAACTAACTGTTTCATACAAGTCGTTAAAGCAAGAACCATCAAACTAACAAATTGAATGTTGAGTAATTAAATGACACCACGTGACAAGCCATGTTTGGATAACGGCGCTCAGGAAACAAACCCCCCGAGAGCTAAACCCTTGGTATGCACAACAAAGCCCGGTTCAGGTTCGTCTGTTAATATATTCGCACACGGTGAGTAGCAGCTTACAGTTGCCGTTGTTTGTTAACCATCCATCCGCCGCCGTTACATCCTCCACACACGCACATTTGAAAGGCACAATTGAGGATAGACATAGCTCTGGGAGGGTTCCGTATTTTCCGGGTGTAGAGGTGAAAGAAGCCCTGAGGGCCGATTACGGAGGCGTTGCACTGTACGTTCGGGAGTCACTCACGCGGGGTATTACGATAGTACGCATAGACAACCACTTGCCAGGGTGCGAGGTCATATGGACGCGCATTAGCCTTTCTGCAGGTGGTAGTCTCCTGATGGGAGCCTGCTACCTCGCACCACAGACGTCCAGGGTCTACCAGGATGGTGGAGGCACCGTATCACAGCGCATGGCGGCAGCGGCAACAGATAGGGCATCCAAAGCGCCATTGCCGTGCCGAACATACCGCTTTCTTTCTTGGGGCCATGTGTTCGCATGCTGCATGAGTGAGGTTGCAGTGGGTTCGGTTACGTCACCGGTGCTGTCCGCACACAAACGCTGTATTGGCTGCTGAGTAGTGCGGTTAAGCGTTGACGTAGACACGGCCATGTCGGCCTGAAGACCTTCCCTAAACAACAGACGGCGACCGAGATTGAGTGAGCTGATGGACGCGACGCACACAACATCCCACACACACCCATAAACGGAGGTCGGTGGAATGCCCAACCACAAGTTAGTCCGGTTAAAAAGGTCTGGAAACTCTAGTTCGTTCTGCAGAGCCTCACGAAGAGCCAACGCGATAGTACAGTCCCATAAATGATGCCGACGATCCCCACAAACCATGCGCACACCACACGGACGCAAACCAGCAGGGACGCCTCTTTAACGTTGGGCCCTATGCATAGGAAAGGCAGGGAAACCATCAAGAGCTAGCCGCCAAAGGGCTTCTTTATGCTCGTTATCCCACCGAAGTCGCCACATGCGCGACAGAGCCCGACGGAGGTGTTGGCCAAGTTGTCCGACGATAAAACGATATCAACAGCATCCAAAATAAAATCTTCATGTTTTTCATCAAGGGTCCGTAAAGAAGGTGCCATTTACAAAGTCGTCGCAAACTTAACAGTTAATTGGGAGAAATGAGCTAACACTTGACCAAACCTCCAACCCAAGCTCTTGACTATTCTTTTCCAGGCCTCTTGCGGAGGGGGTATTTCATGGTTTCCGTCATGCATAGCCACTCTCGCCGCTATCGTCCATAGCGGGGGTAGGCTGTTGATAAGTTGCGATATGCGCGTTACGGCGGTCGCCCCAGACTGACAAGATCCCGGCAGGGGAGGCCTCGGAGTGAGCCCTAATATCCCCCGTACAACAATAGTACGAAAACGGTTCGTACATTGAAGGTGTTGCACCTCAGTGAAGCCCTGTACACCAACCGTGCACACCAAATTCCAAGTAGACGACAACAGTGTTTTTAAAAGTGGTTACTAGTGACCAAGTGATTACTGAGAAGATAATTCCCTTCCAGAAGGTGGTGACTAGGAAATCTTTTGAGTCACCTGCCAGTAACCAGGTGGTCGCCAAGAAATTGGGCCACAGACCCCCGTAGTGACCATCTAAAATGTTTTTGACGCTTGGATGGGGGCGGTGATGCTTCGGCTCGGGAACACGTTGCCGTACATAGAGTCAAAGTTGATGAAAGCTTGCTCAGACGTCTTGTTGACAAGTGAAGTTGGATCTTCGGATGCATGGTTCTATGGGCCTCCTGTTCAGCATACTCGCTGGGGAAAATATTGTGTCAGGTGGTTACCAAGGAAAACCCCCACAGTAACCACTTGGTCACTAAAAAATTATCACGGTGAAAAGTTTTAAAAACTCTGGACGACATAGCAATGAAACACCGCACGGCAATACCTACGCATATTCCGAAGATCACGAAATTGCTCGTCCAACTGAGCGTCATTTAGCTAAGGGTTTCCCCAAAGCGGGATATGGTAACACCAAGGACCCGGAGCTAAATGTTGCGCATTCAGAAGGACACGACGTGGTAGGGAAGTCAACGCTGTTAGAATCCGTGTTGATGCCGGGCAATCATTCGGCACTGGCCTACCTAAGATAGTAGTGACACGGCCATCTCGTACATCTCCGCTAACGGCCAGCAGACATAACGGATGGGCCGCCGGGTGGATATGACGCAATATTGCCAGTAATACCCGAGTCCACAGGGGGGTAGTTTCCAACATTCCAAACATACTGAAACATTCCGAATATACTGGTACCACGCGACCATTGCCACCGGGAGATCACGGGATCAAGACCTATCGGGGTCGAAAATCCTTCCGGTGGTGGAAGGTGTTGCGCCCCAAGGTTGATGACCGATGGTGACCTTGATTAAAATTATCCTGCGAGCCGACCAGGAATGGGGTTGGGCCGCTGTCGACCCGGCAGATTCTGTTGGATGCTGGTGGTGGGTGCTGAACCTGAGCGATCCTCTGAGAAGTTGACTAGGGTGACTGGATGCGGGTGCCCCGAAATACCAGGGTTTCGCAGGGTAGCTGCCACGGGTGAAGATATACCCCCCTGTTTCACACATCATACCAAGGATTGCACGAATAGATAAACAAGCAAAACGAGCACGCAGATGTTCGTGCAGAGGAATGAGACCGAAACTCCCAATGGCAGGGGGAAACGGCATGTATGCGACTCCCACACCCGACGCACGTCCCGAGCAATGTCCCGAGCAGAAGGCGGCTGACGCCTGTCAATAACGGCCGCACAGTCTCCCAGCAGGTTATTCATAGAGGTGATGCTAGGTGCCCCTATAAACTCCAAGTGGTACAGGACTCTACTAACGCTATAACCTGATACCGCAAAAGACCGACTAACAGCTGATAATTGCATCCCAGCAACTAGCTCCAAGCTATTCCGAACTGGTGAGAGCGGAACCGACTGCTGTTCGTGCGAGGGCCTATCTGCGAAGCGAACCCCTAGGGTTGTAGCTACTGAAAGCACCCTGAATCCGCCAACTTCTGTACCTACATGTGGCAGCTGTTCAACCTCGCCTGCTACCCGTTTAAGTCTCCCACAGAAGCTGCCACTTCAGTCAAGTTAGTAACCGGCAACACCAAATCGG